AAAAAAAAAAAAAAAAAAAAAAAAAAAAATCTTAAACAAACAAACAAACAAACAAAACAAGACACTATGTGATAGAGTCAGCATGTAGCCCACAAAACCTGAAGTATTCTGACTCTTTATGGAAAAAGTTTGCCGGCCCCTGTTCTTGACCCCGGTTTACAGAGGACAAAACCAAGTCTCAGAGAGAGAAAGTAGCTTGCCTAAGGTCACAGAGCCCAGTATTGGTGGAGCCGGGACTAGACCCAGATCTGTCTGACTGGCACCAGAGCATTCCATCCCAGAAGTAGTCTGGTTGTTCCCATCATCAGGATTCCCAGTAGAAATCAGTTACCATGGTGCCTGGCACACAGGCAGCACCTAGTACAAGGCAGGCACTGTTGATGTGCAGGGTTCCCCAGCACGGGGCTTGAGGGCAGCTGCTGAAATCCAGGGAGAGGTGCCAGGAGCAAGGGGCACTTGGGAGGCGGCCACTGAGGGGCTTCCCTTTGATACGAACTCTGCTTTCCCACCAGAGGGGTTTGAGTTCTGGAGCCTGGACGTGAATGGAGGCGATGAGTGGAAGGTGGAGGAGCTCTCTGGAGACCAGAGGCAGGAATTCCCCAATGACCAGGTCAAGAAATACTTCGTGACTTCTTATTAGTAAGATCCGAGGGGTCTCGGGGCGGGGTGGGGGGAAGCCCAAGTCACTGCACCTTGGGGTCTCTCCTGCTCTGGGAGGGGCAGTCCTAGCCCCCCAGTGCCCTAGTGGCGAGCCCCAGCCCCTCCCACCCCTCCACCCACCCCCAGCACCTGCCTCAAGTCCCAGGTGGTGGACCTCAAGGCTGAAGGGTATTGGGAGGAGCTGATGGACACCACACGGCCAGACATCGAGGTGAAGGACTGGTGAGTGCTTGGGGCGAGGGTTTGGGGGGGCCCTGCCACTCAGGTGCCCCACCCGCACCCTGCCCCCCCATCTCCAAGGCCCTGAAGGGCCCTTCCTCCGCCTGCAGGTTCGCAGCCAGGCCAGACTGCGGGTCCAAGTACCAGCTGTGTGTTCAGCTCCTGTCGTCAGCGCATGCGCCTCTGGGGACCTTCCAGCCAGACCCAGCAACCATCCAGCAGAAGAGCGATGCCAAGTGGAGGGAGGTGTGTGAGCCGGGAAGGGGACAGGGGACACATTGTCCAAGGCTGAGACTGCAGTCAGACAGGCCCAAGTTGAGATCCCAGTTCTGCTGCTTCTTACCTGGGCTTTGGCTGCTCTGAGCTCTCAAAGATTATCAGTGAGATGATGCCGGTAAAGCCATGTTCAAAAAGATTGACTATTATTAATTACTAATATCAGTTATTACTATTATCTAGGTTAGGGTTCAGTGAACTTTTTCTTAAAAGGCCAGATACAAATAGTTTAAGCTTTGCAGGTTTTACTGTATCACAACTACTCAGCTCATCAGCTCTGCCGTTGTGTTGTGAAAGCAGCTTTAGCAAATGGGCATGACTGTGTTCCAATAAAACTTTATTTACAAAAACTGGCAGTGGGCCCCTAGACCATAGTTTGCCAACTTCTGATCCAGACCAGTGCTCTCCAGTAGACCTTTCTGCAGTGATAGAAATAGTCTGTCTGGGACTTCCCTGGTCTGGACTTCGTGCTTTCACTGCCATGGCCCCAGGTTCAGTCCCTGGTCAGAGAACTAAGATCCTGCAAGCGGTGTAGCACAGCCAAAAAAAAAAAAAAAAAGAGAGAGAAAGAAAGAAATGGTCTGTCTGCCCTGTCCAGTTTGGTAGCCAAGAGCCACATGTGACAATTGAAAACTTAATAAGAGCCAGTTCATAGTACGAATAGGAACTGAATTTTTAATTTTATCCAACTTTAATTAATTTTAACTTAAATAGCCACGTGTGCTCAGTGATGAGTGTATTGGACATCCTTCGGCAGCTTGCAAAATTTCCTTCAGTTCATTTGATCTGCACTTAGATAATCCCGTGGAGTGGACCCAGCAGGATTTTGCTCCATTTTACAGATGAGGAAACTGAGGAGACACAGACAGGGGAGGTGGTCTGCCCCAAATCAGAGTGAGGACTAGAATTCCATTCTGCTGACTCTGGGTTGAGCACTGAGACCTCAGCCCATCCTGGTCCCCTCACCCCCTCAGGCAGTACCCCGCTCAGGGTCAACTACCCTGACCGCTCTCCTTCCCTCCCCCTGCCCCCGCCCCCCAGGTCTCCCACACGTTCTCCAACTATCCACCCGGCGTCCGCTACATCTGGTTTCAGCACGGCGGCGTGGACACTCACTACTGGGCCGGCTGGTACGGCCCGAGGGTCACCAACAGCAGCATCACCATCGGGCCCCCACTGCCATGACGCCCCTGAGCCCCCAGCCACCTAACCCCAACTGATAAACTGCTGTCAGAGATGGGCTGGGCTTGGGAAGGGGAGGTAGAGGCCAGGCTCTACCAGACTTCCTAGTTCATCCTTGCCCCCCCCAGTTGCCTCTTCATGGAGCCTCTTCGTTTGTACAGCCTTCATATGTTATGGGTAGCTAGCTCTCTGCCCGGGGGTCTCAACCTGAATGAGGGGGCCCCTGAGGTTGGGGGGGTGCATGGTGTTCCCCCAGATGCCTCTGAGGGAGGGTCTCCAAGCTCTGCTGGTAACCTAGATCTATGTGTCTACCTTCCCTTGCTGGGTCATTTCTCACTGTCTTCTTTGAGGGCCCTCAGACCTGGGACAGTCAGGACATCTGGCAAGCCTGTGGCTGCCCTGCCTAATACAGATGCTGAGCAATGATGTAGCTCAGACAGGTCTGGGAGTGGAAGGATGGCTCTGCTGGCCCATCCTCTGCCCCATTCTCTGCCACTCCCAGGCTTTCTCACTCTGTCCGCCTGCTTAGCGAGGTGGCTTTGGTCCAGAGGCTCAGGCCTGGTCTGAGATAGGCAGGCCCAGGGTGGGGTGGGGTCCCGGCCAAGTCTGGACTCTCTTCACTGTCAGTGAAGCCCCAGAAGCCACATGTGTATTAAGTGAGGGCAGGGCTGTCCAAAAGATCCCCCTGGAATCCTGCACACGGCAACCCAGGGCAGGTGAGGGGCAGGGTCGGGCCCTGAGAGCTGGGATGTGTGAGCCCTGGATGAGTGGGATGGGGGGGCGGTTCAAGGACCACCTGTCCACCTCCATGCCTAGGCCAGGCACTCTGTGGCTTGGAGAGCATTCCAAGCGCCCACCCTACCCTTGGAACTGCCATTCCCAGGACCTCCCCACCCTGTCGGACCACGTTCCTGCCTCTCCTTCCTGCTGGAAAGAGAGCAGTTCTCCTACCCCTGATGCATGTGGCCAAATAAAAGGTGTTCCCAGCCCAACGTGTGCCCTGTGCTTTCTGGGGGAAAAGGCAAACTTCATGGGAGGTCTTGCCCCTTGCCTGTAGAAGCTGCAACTTATATGGCTCTGTCCAAGGTACAGAGAGGGGTTGACATTTCAGGAGCCAGACTTCGAAGAATGAGGGTCCTGGGACAGACCCGTGGACAAGCTGCAGACATCTCGCATGCAGCAGCCCTCCAGTACTGCCACCTTCCTCTGGAGGCCTGGCCGCAGGCTGGTGGTGGAGTGTGCAGATATCTTGGGCAACTCTTGCCATCCCAGGCACTACTTACTGTTGTTTTATTCACTGCCCAGAGCTTTACTGATAATAGACAAAGCCAAAGAATTTATAATGGTGCCTGGCACACAGTAGGTGCTCAATAACTACTGTTAAATTGCATTATCTGACTCAACAGTGCGCTAGATTAGGGCCTCAACCAGGGCAAGGACTGTTAAGGACCAGGGTTCTTGGCCTCCTTAATCAATAGAAATTGATAAGAGGCCAGACAAGAGTTTCAGATAAGGCTTTCCTGGGACCCCTGCTGCAGCAAGAGGGAGTGAAATCAAGCAACAGTTTCCCTTGCTGGATCCCTCGCTCACTCTGGGGGAGTGGGGAGCTGGTTCCTTGTAATAGGGTGAGGGGAGGGGTGGCTTAGGTGGTCTGCCCACCCCTTTGGTGGTGGTGTGTGCAGCGGGCATGTGCAGTACCCTGCTTTTGCTCCCAATGCTCTGTTTTTGGGCTCTTCAGAAGCGGCAGTTGGGTTTTTGGTCTTTTTGTATCTTGTTGTCCATAATTTGCCCCAACTGCACATGCACACAGTTATTTTTAGTCCCTTATAGTTTCTTTGTAGCTTGTCAGCTCAAGGAGATTGTCCAGGTGCGAGCACTGCAGCAAAGGGTCCCAGGTCCCAGCCTGTCTCAGGACCACCACCCACTAACTGTATGGCAAGTTAGCAAAACACACTCTTCCTCGGAGAATATGCAGCCCTGAGTTAACAACCTGGCCTGGATCAGGCACCCTTGGGCAGTGCACACCCTGCATGATCCCTTGTGGTTGGCTGAAGTAGGTGCTTGATAATTATTTGTGGAATGAAGAAAGGAATTAATGAACTTAATCCCAGCAAAAACGCGGAGCGGTTTTTACCTCTGAGTAAGTCCTAGGGACGGTACGAACCAGGCTCAAGGCCAGAGTTTCAGCAGTCACGCTCCAGGCGGGGCCCACCTCCCTCCCTGCAGGGAACCGGAATAGAGGTCTAAGGAGTGGCCCCCAGAGGGGAAGGGCTAGGTCAGAAGGAGGCTCCGGCCTACCGGAGGGAAGTGGGAGCAGAGAGAAATTGGGTCCCCACTGCTGAGCCGCCCACCGCCTGGAAGGACTGAGCTTCAGGAAACGAGGTCTGGAGCTCCCCTGACGCCGCCCCAACCCTGCGGACACCAGATTTCTTTGCTCGCGCCTGGGAAAGTTGTCCCGGCGTGGGGCGGGGCGAAGTCGCAGGAGCAGCAAGCTGGCGCCGTGAGGGAGGCGGCCTGAGCGCGGCGCGTGACGCAGGCGCCGGGCGGGGCGAGAGCTGACGGCGCCGCCGAGGCCGTAGGCTCCAGGCAGACCCCGACCTCAGGTCGCGCCGAGCGCTCCGACCCGCGCCCAGATCTCGGCCCAGGCAGGGGACGGGTAGGGGGGCGACAGGTGCGGGAGAGGGCTTGGATGTTCGGCGCTGGGGGGTCGTCGGGACGTTAACCGAGCCCGAAGACGCTGTCTCCGGCCGGCCGGGAAGCCGGCAGCCGCGGGAAGGGTGCTGGGGGAGCCGCTTCCGGGCGGGGCGGGGCGCGGGGCGGGGCCAGTCTCTAGGGTCTGATAGCTCGGCGCGGAGCGCTTCGCTTCCCAGCTTGGCCGTCCCGGAGTATCCTCGGCGTCCACGGCCACTCCGGCTTAACCTCGCGTGCAGCGCCCCGGCCAGGGGACAGTCTAGGAACTCGGCACCGTCACGCCCGCAGGACCTGGGACGGGGGCCTCACTTCCCCAAGCCGCAGTTTCCGTTTTCGGAAATGGGCTTAGTAACAGTGTCTCGAGTGGTTGTAGGGAGGGTCTATGGAGAAAAGGCCAGCGTGTGGCCCTGGGCCTAGTACGTGGGAAGCCCAATCGATGCGAGGTGGCTTCTTAGGGCTGATGTGGACGTTTCCACCCCAGAATGCCCTTCACCCCCTCCGCCCTTCTGCATTCAGGCTTTGGGGATGGAGTCTAGTGATGACATGCGACCAGAGCGAAAGACCAGACTTTGGACGATAGGTCGAGCAGGTGTTTGTACCTAAGACGCCTCTAATTTGGAGCCCAGGGACTTTTATTTGGCATAGACAATGCTTTTAGAAGTTGCCAACATTTAAAATTTGACAGATTTCATGTATTTAAAAAATGTTTAAAATTCCTGTAAAATGGGAAGACCTGGCCGCATGGAGTATTTTTCCATCATAGCATTTTGCACAAGCTGCAAGTACCTTATTTATCTGTTTTTTGGGGGTTTTTTTCCTCTGATAATGGAAAAATACTTCTCCCTGGGCAGGTGCCAGAGTGTGTGCCCACCCTCATTTTTTTAATGGGATGAAAGCTTTGAGAAGACTGTGAGCTGTGTGAAAATTAAAAAAGGGAAACCTCACTAAAATGGAGTCAGGAAATGAGGAAGAGGAACACTTGACAGTCAGTACAATCCCAACATCAAGAGGCATACTTAAAATACCTGGCAGGAAGTGAGACTACTACTGCCAGCAGGAGGAAAAAATGATTTTCTCTTTGCCTGGCAACAGCTCAGCCAATGAGAGACTGTCACAACTCAACCAATGAAAAGCCACTATACTTCCAACTCCCCGTGTCTTCCAATGGGCTTTTTGTTTATAACGGCCCCACCCAATTTTCCCTTCTCCTCTGTAAAAGAGTCTCTTCTCCTTTGCTTAACAGGACTTGTAAGTGGTTCGCCATAGTTGCACAGCCTGCCTTGCAGTTATTTGCTGCTCCCAAATAAACCTGTTTTGCAAGTAAAATAAGCGGCTATTTTATTGTTTTAGGTTAACGTTACACGGAGGTTTCACTGAGATCCAGAGAAGACCCCCAACAACTCCGAGGCTGGTGAGCAAACAGGTGCTGGTACCCACAGATCCCACAGAACTCACTGCTTTCTCACCAACTTTGCAGTTTGAAGGTAAGTTTTTTTCCTGGATCTGAGCTCCGCTCTTTTTGCGTTTTGAAGCTCTCCAGGTTTTCTTTGGGATCTGTTTGAAGGCTTCGTCCTTTTTCGTTAAGGCCTTGTTTGTCTGTGAGTACTTGGTTGGCACTTTAGCCTCACTCTTGAAATCACGCTGTTCCAACTGGAACTGTGCTAGCTTTCAGTCCGACTACTTTTGGAACCAGGCTGTTCCTATTGAAACTGTGCTGGTATTTGGCCTGTGGGCTGTTTAAGGATGATTCTTTTGCTCTAGAGAAAAACCCGTGAAAAATGGGATCCCAGTTATCTAAATGTTTTGAGGGTGCCCCCCCACACCTTTTCAGGGACCCTGGGCAATTTTATGTTTAAAAACTGCTGTCTCTCCTTATATACATTTTTAACTAAATGGACCAATTGAAACAGACGTAATTTAGAACATCAGTGACCAGCATGGGGAACTTCTGAACTCCCCAAACTTCCTTTCTTAAAATTGTGTTAGACTGCCACAGATCTGCAGTTGTCAAAACTGAATTGGACACCAATTTTGATTGGTATTTTAAGGCTTCCAAAACGTATCAGGAGTCTAAAATTGCCTCTTTGCAATATACAATTTTTAAAGTAACTGAGGGAAATAAAATATTAAAATAAGACAAAATGGCTTCTGAGGTCTCTTTTTCCCCTACCCCGTCTTCTTTGTCTCTGGATACTGGCAGTCGTCTTGTGCTCAAGCCCATCCCAGGCGCCATCTTCCTTTCCTTCTGCACCTCCCCAGTCTAGTTCTCTCGCTGAACTTCCCTTTTTCCCTACAGCTCCGCTGACTCTCCCTGCTCCCTCCTCTGAGCCTATCAGAACCTCCTCCTTAAAGTTAATCTTCTGAGGATTGAAATAAACCCCAGATTACTTATGTTCCCTGGACTAAGCCAAATTGTGAGCCGTAGTTCAAGAGGTTCCTAAAGTGACTGAGGACCCCCTTAGGTTTGCTGAAGATGTTAATACTTGTTCAAACCTACCAGTCTGGTTTCTCAGATGTATATCAGTTAGTCCACGTGCTTGTTGGTGAGAGTCAAGCAAACACTGGATGAAACTAGCCCATGGGAACATTCTGGAGGGGATTTAGAAGGGCAATCCCCTAACTTTTGGCAAGAGGCTAGAACACTCAGTGAAAACCTCCACTGAGCAATTGTAGTAGCCTCTCCTAAGCCTGTTGATCAGAACAAAGGTCAGCCTTGCATACAAAAATCTGATGAACCTGTTCATGGCTATTCTAACAGGTTATTTTTAAAGAAAACGCTGGTCTTCCTTCAGATGTTGAGTCCACTAGGGTAACTGTCACCTCCATGTTTATTAATGGGCTGAACCAGGATCTTTTTCTTTTATTTAAAAGAACCAGGATGGAATGGGAAACTGTGTCCACGCTAGATTCGTTTGGCAGATCAGCTCACTTGCACCCTAGATGAGTCACCAAAAAGAAAAACCACTAAATTCTTTTGTTTGTTTGTTTGTTTTTTTGCGGTACAAGGGCCTCTCACTGCTGTGGCCTCTCCCATTACGGAGCACAGGCTCCGGACGCGCAGGCTCAGTGGCCACGGCTCACGGGTCCAGCCGCTCCGCGGCATGTGGGATCTTCCCGGACCGGGGCACGAACCCGTGTCCCCTGCATCGGCAGGCGGACTCTCAACCACTGCGTCACCAGGGAAGCCCAAACCACTAAATTCTTAATCTTCAACTCCAGCAAATGAAGGTCCCTAAACAAAACTAAAAACCTAATTTCTGCTATTGCAAAAAGCCAGGGCATCGGAAAAAAGACTTACAAATTTAAGCGTTCCAGGAGTTTTCAGCCCTCTCAGCCTTTCCAGTGTCCTCCTAATGCCCAATGAGGGGGCCCTGAGGAACTGCAGGGGCTCTTCCCAATCCTCCCTGTTAATCAGCTTGAAGAAACAGCTCTCCAGATTGGGAAGGAATCTCTGTCGTTACTGACAGCGGAGCCACACTCTCGGTGCTCAGCCCCACTGCAGAGCCCTAATACAGTTCCCATAGTGGCGATCTCTGATACTCCTCAACAGGCTCCTGTCTCTGAACCTTTTCCCTTTTGTTTAGGCCCTTTGAGAGAGACACACTTTCTCTCCTTAGCTCGTCTCCCTCCATTCACTTATTAGGCCAAGACTTCTTGGAAGAGTATTATGCCGAATTTCTTTCTCCCAAAAGGGGGAAATAATTCTAGAATTTGACAGTAGCCATCTAAATAGCCAACCTGGTAAATTAAAAGACCCTTCGACGTCTTTTATTTGTTCTGTTTCCGGCACTGCTGGGGCCGATTCTTGAAACACTGATCATTTGTCCCTATTGAATCAGCCACCACCCTCCTTATAGGCAAAAATCTCCAACTGATATTGGCAAAATTCACAGTGTACCTCCCATTAAGATCCAAATCGATCCCTCTAAACTCTCTTCAGAATTAATCAGTACCCTGTAAGTAAAGAAGCCCTTCAGATAGAAAACCCATGATAGAAGATTTCAAGGCTCAGGGCCTCACTATCCCTTGCACTAGTCCCTGTAATACACCTGTTATACCTGTGAGAAAACCCAAGGGCTGAGGATGGAGGTTTATCCAGGACCTCTGAGCAATAAACATTGTTATCTCTCAACACCCAGTTGTTCCTGACCACTGCATGCTACTGACATCCATTCCCACTTGAAGCAAATTTTTCACTGTGACTGATCTATGCAGTGTATTTTTCAACTCATTCTAGTTGATAAGGCTAGCCAATATCTTTTTGCCTTCACCTGGGACGGACAACAATATACTCGTATAGCAGTGACCCAGGGTTTCACAGAAAGTCCTTACTTTTCACAAATCATGAAAGCTGATTTGGATGATGTAAAGTTTTCTGCAGGTTCTACTTTGTTACATTATATAGATGATTTGCGCCTATGCTGTCCTTCTCAAACCTCCTCACAGGAAGACAGCATCCACCAGCTAAAATTTTTGGCCTTAAAGGGACATACAGTCTCCAAAGAAAAATGGCACTTTGCTCAAACTCAGGTTCAGTATTTAGAGCACATGATCTCAGAACAGGGACTACTGGATCTAGATAGACTCCATGACATCCTGAACTGCCCAGAATCGAACACTAAGCTCCGAAGGTTTTCTTGGGCTATCTGGCTGCTGTTGAAATCGGAGTCCAATTTTCTCTCTTCTGGCTCAGCCCCTACGTGCTTTATTAAAAACCAGCAAATCTGACCCCATTAATTGGGGAGATCAAGATGACACAGCTTTTGAAGACTTAAGGAAAAGCTTAATGAGACTACCTGCCCTTGGGCATCCTAATTACCAGCTTCCCTTTTCCCTCTTTGTATGTGAGAAGGCAGGGAATGTCCTCGGAGCCCAAAAACAGGGGGCTTGTAGGAACTGTGCTGGTATTTGGCCTGTGGGCTGTTTGAGAATGATTCTTTTGCTCTAGAGAAAAAACCCTGAAAAATGGGATCCCAGTTATCTAAATGTTTTGAGGGTATTGTAGCCAACAGGGTATTGTAGGGTACTGTAGGGTATTGTAGCCAACAGCTGGACCCTGTGGCACAGGTATATCCCCCTTGCTTCAAAGCCATTCCTTCTACCGTCCTTCTGGTTAAGGCCACCAAAGAGACAATCATGGGATCCCCTTTAACCATCTTCGTACCCCATCTTCGTACTGCATGCTTCCATGCAGTGGAAGCCCTCCTAAATTCTTGTCCACTCAACATTTTTCAGTCAGTTGCCTCACCTGTTATGAAATCCTTTTGCTAACTGCTTCTCACATAGCTCTTTCACATTGCACCAACCTCAACCCTGCTACTCTTCTCTCCTTCACTGACGAATCCCCTCACCACTGCCTGACCCTTACTGGTCACCCTTTGACTCCGTGTAATAATTTAGAGGAGACTCCTCTAACCAATGCAGATTTTTCATGGTTTACTGATGGTTCTTATTTAAAGGGAGAAAGTGGTAAAGATTGTGCTGGGTATGCCATTGCAACTCCTTTTGATATTGTTGAAGCAGCGCCTTTACCTACGGCTTAATTATGCAACAGGGTGAATTATATGCCCTCACTGAGGTTTGTAGTTTAGCCAAGGGCAAAACTGCAGACATTTATACTGATAGTCAGTATTCCTTTGGAGCAACCCATGACTTTGGAATAACATGGAAACAAGGTTTCCCTACCTCTAATGGGGAAAAGATTAAAAATGGCTCTTATATGCAAAAGCAATTAGGCGCTATACTCTTGACAGCTGCCTTGACTATTATTAAGATCCCTGGGCATTCCAGGCTTGAGTCCCTATAGGCTGAAAGAAACCACCTTGCTGCTATTTCTGCCCCAAATGCTGCTCTCGAAGGAACCAATGACCAAACTTCCGGTATGATCCAAAAGGATGCTCCCCAAGATAACCATCTAGAAATGCCCAATGCCCCAGAAAAGGAAAAACAGTATTGGGGATCTAGGAACTGCTGGTTCAGTAGAAAGAGAAAACTCTGGTTTGGGCCAAATAACAAACTGGTCCTCCCAGAAATTCTGATTCCCACACCTCAGCACTGTACATGCATTGAACTCTTGGTCCAGTGACAAAATGATAGCATTCATGAATGAATGTTGGTGGGGAAATATTAATAAGGCCACAAAAAGTACCTCCCTTCTTGTCCCACCTGTCCAAAATACAATCCAGGGAAACCTGTTTGCACTGTTCCCAGACACTTTGAATTGCGTAATGGGCCATTCAAAGTTTGGTAGATGTAGAGGGGAAAGTGGGGGAGGGATAAATCAGTAGATTGGGATTGACATATATATACTACTCTGTATAAAGTAGATAACTAATAAGGACCTATTGTATAGCACAGCGAACTCCACTCAATACTCTGTAATGACCTATATGGGAAAGAATCTAAAAAAGAGTGGGTATACATGTATGTATAATTGATTCACTTTGCTGTACACCTGATACTAACGCAACATCGTAAATCAACTATATTCCAATTAAAATAAAAGTTTGGTAGATGGATTTCACATAGCTGTCCCCATCTCATGGATATAAATATATTTTATTACATGGTCTGTACGTTTTCTCATTGGATTGAAGCCCTCCCTTGCAGACAGGCCACTGCTTCTTCTGTGGCTACAATTTTGATAGCAAAGATTATCCCTACCTGGGCAACCCCTCTTGAACTTCACAGTGATCAAGGAACCCATTTTACTGGTCAGGTGCTTCGACAAGTTTGTGCTCTTTAACTGGTTTTACAACATTTTCACTGTACTTTCTATCCTCAATCCTCAGTTAGTGGAACGTTCTAATGGCAATATTAAGACCTAGTGGGCAAAATTCATAGAGACCCTCCCCCAAAAAAAGCATTGCCATCGGTCCTTCTAAATCTCAGATCCACCCCTTTCAGAAGTCAAACTCTCACCCTTTGAGGCAGTCACAGGACACCCAATGTTCCTTGCCCCACCCACTTTTGACCCAGAGCTGATGAAAGGAGATATATTTCAATATTGTAAAGGCCTGATTGCGTCTATTAAAAATAACAATGCTTGGTAGAGCAATCTTCTTCATAGTGTGCTCTTGGGAGACGAAGACCTTAAGCATCACACCTTTCAACCTGGAGATTTCATGTACTGGAAAAGACACCTCGAGAAGGACTCTCTTCAACCTCACTGGAAAGGCCCCATCAGGTACTGCTAACCTACCCTTGTGCCTCCAAACTTCAGAGAACAGACTCTTGGATTCATGTGACACATCTAAGAAAGCACCAGACCCTAACTGGACCTGCACACCATCTGGTGACCTGAAGGTAAAGATTTCCTGGATTTGAAGCAGATGACATCTGATGAGACAGCTTGCCCAAGATGTCTAGACAAGGCCTGTTAGAAGGTTTAGAATTCACAGAAGTGTCTTTCTTTCATCTAGACTATAAAACTGACTCTGGATTCTTATCCAAATTCAGTTTCTTGAATTTTCAACCTACAGTCTGTATCATTGATAAAACATCTGATTCCAAACAGTTTCTTTTGAGATAACAATACTGTTTAATTACTTCATGTTTATTCCTACACTGTGTCATTCCAAAATTCTTTTTTTAATTTAATTTTTTTTTATACAGGAGGTTCTTATTATCTATTTTATACATATTAGTTTATATATGTCAATCCCAATCTCCCAATTCATCCCACCACCACCACCACCCCCCCCGCTTTCCCCCCTTGGTGTCCATACGTTTGTTCTCTACATCTGTGTCACTATCTCTGCCTCGCAAGCTGGTTCATCTGTACTGTTTTTCTAGATTCCACATATATGTGTTAATATACGATATTTGTTTGTCTCTTTCTGACTTACTTCACTGTGTATGAGTCTCTAGGTCCATCCACATCTCTACAAATGACCCAGTTTCGTTCCTTTTTATAGCTGAGTAATATTCCATTGTATATATGTACCACATCTTCTTTACAAAATTCTTGTTTAATTCCTTCAGTTTTGAGTGTGCCCTTGCTGTATTCACTATTCTAAGATACAGACTTTTGGATGGGAAATTCCTGAGAGATCTCCCTCCTACCCCTCCTTGTTACTCAAATGTGACCACAATAGGTTTCCAATCCGTGCACTTTCCCTCTGACATGGGACAGGACACCCAGAAAAGATCCTTCCTGGCATCACGGGACAAAAGGCCACTGAATGCTGATTTAAAAAACAGACAAAAACCCTGACTCTTGATCAGTGATGCTTTTGGAGAAAGATCTTGATCAAAAGGGGGAAATGTGAAAATTAATGAAGCAAAACCTCACTGAAATGGAGTTGGGAGGCCAGAAGGGGGGAGTACTTGACAGTCAATACAGGAAGAATCAATACAGATCTCTGGCAGGAAGTAACACTACTAGTGCCAACAGGAGGAAGAAAGATTTTCTCTTTTCCTGGCAACAGCTTAGCTAATGGTATACTGTCACAACTCAGCCATTGAAAAGTCACTATATTTGGAACTCCCAGTTTCCTCTAGCAGACTTTTTGTTTATAACAGTCCCTCCCAACTTCCCCATCTCTTCTATAAAAGAATTCCTTCTGCTTTGCTTAACAGGACTTACAAGTGGTTCACCAGTTGCACGTCCCAAATTTCAATTCTTTGCTGCTCCCAAATAAATCTGTTTTGCTGGTAAAATATCTGGCTGTTTTATTGTTTTAAGTTAACAACTGCTTCTTTGGCCAAGTCGCAATGAAAAATGAAGTCTCCCCAGTGTCCCTACCTGTCCCAGGAGAATATTCCCTTCCCCACCCATAAGCAGATAAGGCCTATCTGCTCCAGCCATCTTGAGTGACAGTGGCTACAGGCCCACTCCCACCCAACTGAGGGAATCCCCTTAGACAGCTGGATAACCAGGATCCCCCCCAGGCAAGATTCAGGCCAAGGTGGTGGCACTGTAATTTTCCCAAAACCCTGTGCAATTCAGATGTAGGAGGGAGGAATGTGTTCTTGGGGGCGGGTACCTCTGCAACTACTGGAGAGTCGTTTGGCTCTGAGGCTAGGAGTGTGGTTAATGATGCTGTGGAGCACTTCTCAACCAGCCCTGTGCTAAATGCTTTCCTTGTACTAACTCAGTCCTCCCAGCCCTTCTGAGGTCGGGACAGTTACCACCTTTTTTGGGGGGGACTACCTTCCCAGCGAGTCACTCCAGGCCAGGATTCAAACCCAAGCGATCTTGCTTCTTCACCCTCAACGTGCTTTTCCGTTTCTGGGCATTTCAGAGTGGCCTGACGCCCAACCCAGAAGTGTGTGGGGAGCCTCCTCATTGGGATGTTTTATCACAGCTAAAGTGGGCAATTTGGGGAGAGAAAGTTTGTTTCTCAGCCCATCACTTAAATTGTGAGCTAGTCTGTGGATGTAATAAAGATTTTACGTTTTTTTTAATATGTATATTTTTTCCCTCACACTTTTTTAAATTATTATATTTTTATTTTTGGCTGCATTGGGTCTTTGTTGCTGTGTGTGGACTTTCTCTAGTTGCAGCGAGCAGGGGCTACTTTTCCTTGTGGTGTGTGGGCTTCTCATTGCAGTGGCTTCTCTTGTGGAGATTGGGCTCTAGGTGTGCAGGGTTCAGTAGTTGTGGCGCACGGGCTTAGTTGCCCCACGGCATGTGGGATCTTCCAGGACCAGGGATCAAACCCATGTCCCCTGCATTGTCAGGCGGATTCTTAACCACTGTGCCACCGGGGAGTCCCAAGATTTTGTGTTCTAACGGTGAATTCATAGTATTAAAATAACATCACTGAAAACCTTTACAGAGCTTACAGACAACAGCATGGCCTTGGCAAATCTTACAGTTCTCCAGGCCCACCAACTGAAAATTAAGCAATTAATTTTTTAATGGGGGGTGGGGTCTCTTAAAAACTGAGTCCCTGAAGACTTTATCAATATTTTTATTGCACTCTTTCAAATGTGCATAACATGTGGCCACTCTTTATTTTGAGGGTCTACCATGTACTGGAAAGGGGCTCCAGTGTTCCCTGGCCCAGGTCCCTGGGGGTCTAAGGGGTCCACCTCCTTGGTCAGAGCTCATGAGCACTGTTGCTCCCCACAGGCCTGTGCATGCTTCTCACCCCCCCACGGCCATGGCCCTGGTCAGCATCAACCAGCTGCCCGAGAGCATCCTGCTGGAGGTGTTCACGCACCTGCCCGCTCGCCAGCTGCTGCTGAACTGCCGCCCTGTCTGCAGCCTCTGGCGCGACCTCATCGACCTTGTGACCCTCTGGAAGCGCAAATGCCTGCATGAGGGCTACGTCACTGAGGACTGGGACCAGTCCGTGGCTGACTGGAAGGTCTTCTACTTTCTGTGCAACCTCCGCAGGAACCTCCTGCGCAACCCGTGTGCCGAAGGTGGGCCGGGGCCTGCTGCTGGGCTGGTTCTGTCCCTTTCCTGAACCTCAGGGCCTTTGTACTTGCTGTTCCCACACTACCTGGAATGTTCTCTCATCACCACCACTCCCCCCAACACCTGTCATGCTCCCTTGGTCCCTCTCCTCATTCTTCAGGTCTCCGTTCAGAGATGTGCCCTGATCCCCCGTCTGCAAACAGTGCTCCCCACGTCTGTCACATCACCCCATTTCCTTCCTTCATAGCACTGGTCATAACCTATAATAACGGAATCTTTTTTTTTTTTCTCTGCCACAAATTTCAAGTTCCTGGGGCCTGACAGATCTTGCCACTCTGCACCCTGTGTCCACATAGCATGTGCTCAGGAAACGTTTGTTGAATGAATAAGCACACTGCAGACCCCCTCCCCTTTAGTTCAGTCTGTGCTGCCTAACGTTGAGGGAGGGCTTCCTGTGTGCCAGGCACTAGTCTGAGGTCTTAGAAATGTCATCATCCTCCCGTCACCCCATGATACGAGGAAGGAAATGAACTGCAGAGGCAACTACGATCACATGGTTTGAGGCTCCTATTGGGCTTATGTTCTCATATATTTGCCAGGCTTTTTTTTTTCTTCATTTAGCATCTTCATTTAGTACCAGGCATCATGCTTCCTGTTTAGGTATAGCAGCAGTTGATGAAGAGGCATAGTTTGTACACTTAGAATCCCTTCCTCTCTTTATCCTTATGAAGATCCTGAGAGTTAGCCAGATAAGAAGGGTTTGGCTCCATTTTATAGATGGGGAGCATGAGGCCCCCCAGATGAGCGTCTTGCTCAAAGATCTAGAACTGCCCAGCTTCTGGGGTCCAGTCCTGACTGCTGAAGGCCCTTAGGCCCTTCTTCGAGGCCCCACAGACAGTGCCCCAGACACTCAGTCTCCTGGCCTGCCCCAAATCCTGCTCAGAAGCTGCCCAGCCGGGCCGGGCCATCAGCGCAGCTCACACAGCCCTGCAGAGCCGGCCACCCAGCCTTGCGCAGCTCTCCCCCTGCGCCTGCCCTGGGTACTGTCCTGCTCTGGATTTCTGAATTCCTCTTCTGGTTCTCTACTGGGGGGCTCCCGGGGCACCTGGGGGATAGATGTGGGCTCCTAGTAGAGGGAGCAAAGGAATAATTTGGAAAAGCTCTCCTGGTGATCTGGAAAGCCTGGGTAGAGAAGCACTGTTTCCTGAGGTCCTCTCAGCTCAGTCTGAAGGGGGAGATGGGAGGGACAGCCTTACGCCTACAGACCTGCCAAGGCAACCTGGTGGGGACCCTTCCACCAATACAGGGTTACTACACATCACCAACCCAGAGGATGCCCAGGCCCCCAGTCCTCCCTCCTGCCCTGGGCAGAGGGGGTCCGAGTGGGCACAGCAGGTTCCCATGACCCACCAGCAAAGCCCCCCAGATCCCAGTATGTAGTTAACCTCCTGGACGTCGACGTCAGGGGAATGCCAGTCGTCTAGTAAGTGGTCTGAGTTGGGACAAACTCACATTAGCCATTAAGAACAGAATTACCGGGCTTCCCTGGTGGCTCAGTGGTTGAGAGTAGAGCCTGCCGATGCAGGGGACACAGGTTCGTGCCCCGGTCTGGGAAGATCCCATATGCCGTGGAGCGGCTGGGCCCGTGAGCCATGGCCGCTGAGCCCACGCGTCCGGAGCCTGTGCTCCGCAACGGGAGAGGCCACGACAGTGAGAGGCCCACGTACCACCAAAAAAAAAACCAGAATTCCCCACACAGGCCCTTCATAATTTAATGGTTCGAGAACTGAAACTTGGGTATTTCCAGAGCCCCTGGGCAATGTGGAAGTGAGGAAAGGTTCATTTAGAATTTCTGGTCATACTCTTTTCTTTTTTCCAGCTTCACGTTAAGTGTTGACCCGCTCAGGGACAAAGTGGGAGGCAGAGGGCCCAGATCAGGATTGCTGTGGTGGGCACAGGTGGGAAGGCGGGGAGGGGGGCTTGTAGGGCGGCTCCAAGGTGCCGTGGGGTGCATGCCTTGAGATCTGAGCCTTACCCGCTCCCTCCCAGGACCAGGTGGAGAGGGCCAGGCTGAACATTCACCCAGAGGGTCTCACTGCAGCTTCTGTTTTCCCTAGAGGATATGAGATCCTGGAAAATCGACTCCAACGGAGGGGACCAGTGGAAGGTGGAGAGCCTCCCCGGGGCGCATGGCACAGACTTCCCTGACCCCAAAGTCAAGAAGTACTTTGCCACGTCCTATGAGTAAGACGAACTGAATTGAGAAGCTGTGTGGAGGGAAAAGGGTCCGGACAACCTTTTGCCAAATCCCAGGCCTAAGTGAGGGCCTGTGTGTGAAGCTCCAGAAAGGGGGTTCCAAAGCCAGCTCAGCACCTACCTCTTCCTGGGGCAGGAGGCAACTCAGTGGCTGGGTTGAGGCAAGTGGGGGAGGCGAGCAGTTTGAGGAGGCTGGGAGCCCGTTAAGTGGTTGGGGTAAGTCAGGGATGGTACAGGTTGTCCCCAGTCTAGGGGCCTGAGTTCACGGAAGCGCCCTCCTTGGGTGCCCGGGACACTGGGCCTAAGGACTGGGATGATCGCCACCCAGGCACCAGTGGGTCAAACTCCCTGCACGTTCCCCGCGGGCCTGCATGGAGGCAGGAGCCAGAGTCCTGTCCTGCAGCCCCTGCACCAGCTCCCTGGGTCCGGGTCACGCCTGGGGACGCACGCCTCGCCTCTGCTCCGCAGGATGTGTCTCAAGTCGCAGCTGATAGACCTCAAAGCCGAGGGCTACTGGGAGGAGCTACTGGACAAGTTCCGGCCGGACATCGTGGTTAAGGACTGGTGAGTGGGGCCTGCGCCCGAGTCCCACACTCTGCATCCCTCCCTCTGCTCTTCCTGAGAACCCCTCTCGGGAGTGCCCACTGAGCCCGGCGGAGTCCTGGGGCAAGGGCTGCCCCCCTCCCTACCGACAGGCCCAGCACTTATTCAACACTGCCCCCTGCCCCAACCCTGCATCAGCAGATGTTAGCCCCAGTTTACAGATGGGGAGACTGAGGCCTACAGATGAGTTGTCACTAACAGGCCCTGGAGCAAGAGACACTAGGACCCAGCCTCCCTGGACCTCGCAGATACTCACATGCCTGTCTGCCTCCCCTACCCCTTTCACTGTTCATCCCACGACTCTATCCCAAGCTCCTACTCTGTGCCCAGAACTTTGTCTGGCCTGGCCCAGGGCAGAAGCAGGACCCTAATGCCCGCCAGGCCCCAGGGCCACTACTCTGAGGGTGGGGGGTTGGGGCTTGAGAGGTGTGCAGGGCTGCAGTAGGGCTGACCAGAGGGGGAGCCCTGTGCAGCCCCCATCACACAGGCCACCCCTCCCGAACCTCCATTGTAATGTACCGGCGGCAACACAGATCCTACAGCCCAGGACTTTATCTCTGTAGAGAGCCTTTGCTTTTTATGGTGACATCTTCACTGGAACACCCAGGAGGGTCGCCTCTTTTCTCAGATGGGATTATTGAGGCCCAGCGCAGACAGACTGCTTGCCCCAGGGCACAGTGGGGCACAGGGAGCCCTGGAGCCGGCTGGGCCTCGTGGGCAGAGCAGGGAAATGAGACTCGGGGCTCCGATTTGTGGGCCTGCTGCCTGCCCGCCTCCAGAGATGGTGGCCTCCAGGGCCCCCTCTGTACTGGGGTGCACAGTCCCAAGCCCTCCCCTCCCCCAGGTTCGCCGCCAGAGCGGACTGTGGCTGCACCTACCACATCCGAGTACAGCTGGCCTCGGCCGACTACATCGTCCTGGCCTCCTTCGAGCCCCCGCCCATGACCGTCCATCAGTGGAACGATGCCAGGTGGACAGAGGTGAGGCCTCACCTGCTTGCCCCTCGCCATCCACTTCTCCCAAGGCCAGGATGGCAGGAAATCTGGGGCAGCCCCAGGGCCCAGAATGCACCAGTCCTCTGTCTGGAGTTCCTGCCTTCTGGCCGGGAGGCTCTCCCCTGCAGGACCTGACTCCAGCCGTCCCCTCTCCAGCTCAGTGGTCATCCTGTCTCATCCCCTCTTCAGTCCTGGTGGTCACTTCCTTTCCCCTCCTCCCCCCAGGTCTCCCACACCTTCTCGGATTACCCTCCAGGTGTCCGCCACATCCTCTTCCAGCACGGGGGCAAGGACACCCAGTTCTGGGCAGGCTGGTACGGTCCCCGCGTCACCAACAGCAGCATCGTCATCAGCCACAGGGTGACCAGGAGCCCGGCCCCCTCCGTGGCTCCGCGCTAGACCATGCAGGGGCCAGAAGAGGTGGCCCACCTGCCCTCCCCCCTCCCCCTCCACAGGCCCTCCTGACAGCCTGTCCTCCGACAGCCATTCATGTCTTCCATCTGGGCCAGCCGATTGCCAAAGGTCCCCTCCAGGCAAGGCATGAGCCTGTAGGGGGCAGCGAGGCCCCCTGCCCCAGTTCCCACCTGGGGCAAACCCACCATTCTGTGAACTTAATTATCACGTAGCTCTGACATTTTGTTGTAATAAATGTTTTCAGTAAAACCAGCCTGGGGTCGGGTCTAGGGGTCGGGGTACAAGGTCCTCGGCACTTTGGTAGAGAAGCAGCCTCCCTCCCCTCCAGGGAGTGACAGCCCAGCTCAGCCCTGGGGGCTCTTTATTGAAACAACTCACAGCACAGTATTTGAGGCAGCGCTGGCCAGCGGAATCCCAGGAGGCTGAGAAATTGAGGTCCCAGCACCTGTCCCTGCCCTCCTGGGGAGGATTCCTCCATGAAGGCAACCAAGCCTGAGCAGCCCCGGGCTGGAGGGTGGGTGGTCCATACATAGAGGCAATAAGAGCACTTGGAATCAGAGTGACCCTGCAGCACTGCCCTAGGCTGGGCCCCCAAAGTCCGACAGTTGTGGCATCCACGGTGGGCAGGCACACCCTCAGCTGCTTTTATGAGCTCGCTCTTCCACGTAGAGCTGCATCTAATGGACAGGAACGAACACCATGGTCAGGTGGACAGCCAGGGCAGCTACTCTGGAGAACCCACGGGGTCTCCGACAAGGGTGGGCTCTGTAGCCCCAGCCAGGGTTTAAGGGAAAGAGGGAGTTGGGAGCATAAAGCCAGGCATGCCCTGGTCATCTCCCCTGAGCCTTGATCCAGAAGCCGCCTAACAGGGCCTCAGCACACCCTAAATAAAGCACACTCAGGCCCAAGCAGCTTACCTTTAAGATGTCTGATGTCATGGTTTTCAGGGGTATCAGTCGGGGGTCATGCATGTGGACGTCCTGCTCATCTGCCAGGATCCAGGGGAAGTCCTAGGGAGGGGACAAGGGAAGGGTGGCAGGGGGCTGGTCCATGGCCCGCCCTCACTTTGCTGCCCTCTCCCCTTCCGGAGCTGGCATCCTCAGACTTCGGGGAGCATCAGAGTCACCAGGGAATGGCTGGCCGTGCAGATTCCTAGGTTCCCCCACCGGAGAGAGGCTGAGTCTGTAGATCTGAGCTGGGCTGGGAGCCCCAGTGATTTAACAAGCCCCAAACACCAGTTCTGAAACTGGATCAAGGATCCCCTCCCTTGAGAACCCCCAATGAGCTGGTGGCTCTCCCTGCTCTCAGCGCCAAGTGCCCAGGTGGGGCGATGACAAGCGGCTGGCCACAGAGCCAGCGCACAGTGAGAGCCTACCGATGCCAGGCGCTGCCGTAAGAAGTGTAATGAATGCCCTGCCGTAGGCAGCGCCCTCGCTCTCATGGAACTCCGGTTTTCAGACCTCCCAGCGGTCTCCCTGCCCACCCTCCCACACCAGTCTCATCTCACCTTGATGACCTGGATCTTCTCCATGTTGCGAGTGGCAGCTTCTCTCGTGTGCACTAAGACTGTGAAGGTACAGCCTAAAGAGGCCAGAGTTTGGTCAAGCCTGGGCCACCCCATGCCTGCCGCGTGGCACAGCCTCTTCCCACCTCCCTAGCTGGCTCAGCAGCCCCGCAAAGCAGAGTGTAAACCCAGTGTTCAGAAAAGTCACAGTCAACAGGGAGACTAAAGCCCAGGTGGAGTCATCAGGGAAGCTTCCTGGAGGAGGTGGGCTTTCAGAAGAGTTCTAAAAGGCAGGAAGGAAGAGAGGGAGCTTGGTGCAGCCAAGTAGGGATCTGAGGACACAGACCAACACAGGTAGCCATGGAAATGCCCAGGGAAGAGGGGGTGGGAGTGAGCACACCTGGGGGGTTGTGGTCCAGGACAGCATCACATACACTGATCTTCAGGATGAAGGCTCGGAGCAGCTGCTCCACGTGAGACAGCAGGGAGTCTGAGCTGGGAAGCAGAGAAGAGGAGAGTCTCCCAGCACATAGGTGTCCCCCTCCCACCAGCAGGCAAGCAACTCTGGGAGCAGCCCTGGCGGTGCAGAGTCCCCCTAGTGCTTCTGAGTGTATTGACTTCTGAGGCCCTGGCTACCTGTCTCTACACAGTTGACATCATCTGGGGAGTTTAAAACCAAAGCCGAGTCCCATCCCAGGCTAATTAAGTCAGAATGCGGCGGGGGGAAGGGGCACAGGGAACCCCAGTAGGTGGTTCTAATATGCAGCCCAGTCTGAGAACCGGACACAAAGCCAGGAAGGGACAGGGTTTGCCCGAGGCCACATAGCAAGTAGGGACAGATTCTAGTGCCCTGACCTCACCACACGAAGCTGGCAGCTGACCAGCCCAACACGCCCATCCAAGGTCAACATCTGGTTGACTAGGGACTGGATGGATGCTTGACTGGGAAGTCAGGAAACTGGGTCTGTGTCCTGGCTCTGGGTGACCAGGTCAAGATCATCTCTCAGGACCCTGGTTTCTCCATCTATAAAATGAGGTTGGGACTAGCCATTCACCAACGTTGTGATTTTCCAGGTGTGATACTGGAGGGTCTCCGTGTAACCTGTGTGATGTCCACAGAGACCACTGGGCGGCCGGCTGTGACTCAGACACTAACAGGCCTCGTTGGGTCAGCACACTTTGCCATGTCTCCTCTCAGGCCTTTAGCAAGGCATTCAGGGGCTGCCTTAAAGGGGTGAGGGTGGCCGTGTTACTAGGGACCTCACACCAGTGAGCACGTGGATGGGGGACGAGGCAGCGCACCTGATGGACAGCAGCGGAGGCTGCGTGATTTCGAAGACGAATTTCTCCACTGGGCGGTGCTCCTTGTCCAAGATGACTACCACCACTTTCTCCACATCGTTCTGCAAGGACAGGAAGCCCCGATTCCAGAACTGGACACCCGCCTCCCCCTTACCCCACCCCCCAGCCCCTGCCCCCTGCTCCCTGCCCAGGGAAGAATGGGAAAGGTGCACTCACGGCCCTGCTCAGCTTCTAGGCCCAGAGTCCCTGAGAGCCCAGAAAGAGGTTTGAGAAGTTGAAGTAGGCGCCCCCAGACATGAGTGGTACCCGCGGAGAGGAGAGGATGCCTGGGCCCCACAGGGGTCCCAGCGTGTCCCAGGGAGCAGAACAAGGTAGAATAAGGAAGCCCTGAGGGGCCAAGCTCAGACAGAGCTTGGGGGCAGAGGGGGAGAAAAGAACAGGTGAGAAGGACCCAAAACCCTCTGGGCAGGCCCCAGTCAGCCAACTCCACTAACCAGGGCTCCCGGGCCCGGCACGCCCTGAACGTGCCCACATGCCCTGGGGCCTGTCCCTGGGCAGGGGTGGTCTCCAGAGCGCAGGACACAGGCTTCTGGGTGTTAAGAGTCATGGGGACCCGGTATGGTCCCAGCATCACCCCATCCTGGAGCATGGAGGAGCACTGGGGGTGGGGTGGGCTAGGGGCCTGGTGCCCTCACCTTCTCCAGCAGCGGCTTGACGCAGTGCAATGTGTCCTGGATATACTGGTTCAGCTCCGGGTGACAGGACATCTGCACACAACCCCATGATGGCTGGTGAGGCTGCAGCACTGATGGGGGAGCCATGGCAGACCCCCTCCAGCAGCCCAAGGGCCTGTCTGCCTTCGGAGAGAGGCGCAGCAGTTCCCTAGGGCTCCCCACCCAAGAGACAGACTTCCCATCACGAGGCTAAGAACTGAATTATCCACAGAGGGAGAGAAGTTAGAAGATGCTAAGAATTCAGTCTCAACATTAGCATTTAATATAGCATTAGGAGTTCCTAACGCGGGGTCACTGAGCTCCTCCAGAGTCTGAGAAGTCTTTAAATTGTGAGTGTTTGAGCATACAGGCGTTTTTCCGAGAGGGGATCCAGAAATTTAATCCATTTTCGAACATTAAGAATCTGGAACAGACTTCCCTTGGTGCGCAGTGGTTAAGAATCCGCCTGCCAATGCAGGGGAGAGCCCTGGTCTGGGAAGATCCCACATGCTGCGGAGCAACTAAGCCCGTGCGCCACAACTATCGAGCCTGCGCTCTAGAGCCCGCGAGCCACAACTACTGAAGCCCGCGTGCCTTCAGAGCCGGTGCTCCGCAACAAGGGAAGCCACCGCAATGAGAAGCCTGCGCACCGCAACTAAGAGCAGCCCCTGCTCACCGCCAACTAGAGAAAGCCCGCGCGCAGCAGCGAAGACCCAATGCAGCCATAAATAAATAAATAGATGGATAAATAAATAAATAAATTTATTTAAAAAAAGAATCTGGAACTAAGGAGTTGTGTGGCCTCAGGCTTAACTTCTCTGTGCTTTAGTTACTTCATCTGTGGAAGATCTCATTTAAAAAAGTGAGGATTAAGTGAGATAAGTACCTAGTACGCGGTGGGTGCTCAGTAAGTGCTGATTCTTTTTTTCCTTTTCCTTGTATATCTTTTTGTTTGTTTGTTTTTTTGGGTTTTTCCCCCCCTATATATCTTTTAAGCTTCCACCACCTTCCAGTATTCGGTCATTTATTCTAATATTTACTGAGTGCTTTCTAAGGCACAGGTACTTCTTGAGGCTGGGGATAGAGTAGCATATATTTACTGCTTTGTCTGCCTTTTAACCTAAAGCAACCCGTTACAATTAGGGTAAATGAGGGGAGACGGAAGGTGCCTGAGGTTTATAGGAATCCCCTCCCCAAACCAACCATCCACCAGCTTCAGGAGACCTTTAAAATACAAAGATGGGGGGCTGGGGGGCTCTAATCGGAGGGCCTGGTCCCTAACTTCTAGCAAGGGGAACTCCCAGTTCAGAGGGGACAGAAGGAAACGCCACTGCGGCAAGGGGTGGGAGGTTGTCGGGCTATCAGCAGCTGCTGGGAACTAGAAGGCAAGGCCAGGCCGCTGGGGACTGAGAGGGCTGAGCCTGAAGAAGGAAGAAAGTTAAAAATGTGCTCTCTACCCACTCTGTGATACGGGGGTGACCCAGTGCACCCAGTCTGGATGTGGGGCTCACCTGGACAGGCACGTTGTACTTCTTACGCTTCTGGAAGATGCCCACCGGGTAAACCTCACGCACGTAGAGGATCAGGTGCACCGCCACCTCCAGGAACTCGCAGAGCACGTCGGCCACCACTGCGAGGGGGCCGAACCCAGTGCGCTCGGGGAAGTCCGCCAGCCCAGGCCCTCCCTCGCCCCCCGCCAGGGTGCGCAGGTCCAGCCTCTCTACCTTGACCAAAGTTGAGGTCCTGTCGCGTGAGCGTGGTCATCCTTCCCGATACCTAGGGGGTGGGGCAGGAGCGGGAGCTAGTTCCTAAGGCCCCTATAGCCACAGGGCCCGCCCACCTCCACTGCCCCTCCCCTCCTCCGTCTGGGGGGAATCTGGGCAGGACCGCCCCTCCCTTCACACAGAACCGGAGCAGCTGGGGAGGACCCCCCACGCTGGCGTCAGAGCTCGGAGGCATCAGCTGCGCCGCGATCAGCCTCTGCGCACTGGCCGCCTCGCCCTGCAGTCTCCTGGGAGTAGATAAGGCCAGAGCTGTGCCCGCATAAAGGGCACCGCCGCAGAGGGTACAGCTGGATGCGCAGGGCCGGTAGCGTGAAGCCGGACACGCGGAAAACGAAACTAGGCTGGAATAAGACTTCACCTCCTGCCAGGCTGGATTCTTCCCCTGAGGGAATCCCGCCCTTCTCCTCTTCCCCGGTACCGGCTCCGGCCTCGATTCCGGACTCGGGGCCAGGCCCCCGCGAGAGAATCCACCGACCGATCACTCGCGCCTCGCGCTCAACCAGAGGCCCAGGCGCCGCTCCATGACGTCCGCGGCGCTCCGACGGGTCCTAGCGCCGGCTTCCAGCCACGCCCACCCCCTGCGCAGCCAACCACGGGTGCAGGAGGGAGAAACGGCCAGAGGGGCGGGGCTTGGGAGGGGCGGAGCCCTGCCTGGGCGCCGGTGTGATCCCAGGGCCGTTGCTGCACCACGCCTCTTCCTTTCAATTTTAGGTAGGCGCGAAAAGAGACAACTTTGGTCTCCACATCGGATCGCAACGTATTTCCCCCCCCCAGGGCATTTCTCTCGCTTTAGGAGGCGCGGGAAGAGGTAGCGTACGTGTTGCTGGTGAGAGCCAGCTCGAGGTCACAGCTGGGCACTATGGACAGCGACATCTACCGCTAGCTCCGCAGTCACCATCCCCGGAACCTCAGCTGCCCAACCGAAAGCGAATCCGCCGGCTCCGGGGCGGGGACAGGGGAGTGCCGGCGAGCATCGGGGACGTCCCCGTCCCCACCCCCACCCGGAGCCTAAATGCAGCCAGTCTTTACCTTTACCTCCCAAGAAGGTAAAAACTTCCCGGGCCGTGCACCATAACAATAGCTGACATTTATAGAGGTCCAGCCATGTGCCAGGGACTGGGCTAAGTGTGTTCGTGGATCAGCTCACTAAATCCTCAAAACAATTCCACGCGACAGTTGCCATGATTGTCCCCGTTTTACGTATGAGCCAAGTGAATTTCAGAGGGGTGAAGTAACCTGCCCGAGTTACCCAGCTATTGGGGGAGGCGGTGGGCATAGTTGTCTTCTGCCACTACACTTTGTAGCTCGCAAGTCCCCCAGAGGCATGGACTCTGGAAGGGCTGAGAGGACCCTGGGAAATAATAATATTAAAATAGTTACTAACATGCATTGAGCACTTAATATGTTTCAAGCACTGATTTCTTTAATTCTCTCATTAACCCTAGGAGCTAAGCCTTCATTTTACAGTCCCACTTTATAGATGGTAAAACAGGCTCAGAGATGTTCCCTAATTTGCCAAAATCACACAGTTGGAATACAAACCCAGTTCTGACTTCTACTCGAACTCCCGGGCTTCACCTTATTTTCAGCCCCTTTATTTTACAGATGGGAAAACTAAGGTCAGAGAAGTGGCTGAGGAGTTATGGCAACAAATCAGGGCCAGAAGTCCGGGGATCTTGTCTCTGACCTCCAGGGACACAAAAGCTGGTTAGGAGTCATGCCCATCTGCTGGTACACAGATATAGCTATAGGAATGTTTACCGTTTACTGCTTAGTATTGGAGACCTGCACCTCCTTCACCCCAGATGCTTTCAAACCTGCATTTACACACTTCTGATGGGGTGGGGGCAGGGGAGAGAATAACTAACCTAGCCCATTAAGCCAAGAATGCCCGCAGAGCATTTCTCAAAAGCAGTCCTAGGAAATCTGCATCAGGATCCCCAGGGAGCCCATTAAACGTCAGGAACCTGGGCTTCCCGGACCTACCAGATCAGTTGGGGTGCACAGCAGGGCACTAGCCCTTTAACAAGCTCCCAGGGGCCCTGATGCCCAAGAAAGTGTGGGAATTGCAACCACAGTGGTTTGGGCTTTTCCAGGGAAAGTCTGCATTTCATTAAATTGCAATGCTTAACCCAATGGAATGGATGATTTATTTCAGAAATGGATGCACCTGGCAGCACATTTGGGGCACAGCAATCCTTTCCAAGACCTGGGGATCCTGCCCATGTCATATAGAAGAGGACCATTTCCATATGGAAAGAGCTGAGCAGCTCACTTGCTTGTAGACAGGTGTCCCATGGCTCCTTGAGATTTAATCACTGAGGATGCTTTGGAAACTGGAGAGATTTGAGGGTCCCTCTTTGCCCGTCCCTGGAGCCCGCTGAAGCAGCATTTTCACTGGTAACAGAAAGTGGCAGTCTTAAGGGGGCAATTCTTTGTAAAGGGTCCCTTAGGATTGGGGTCTAGGGTGGAGAAACTCAAAGCCCAGCTACTCCTGTGGCCTCCGGGGCAAAGTGTGAGCGACCTGGGGGCTCATGCCAGGCATTCCTTCATGGGCCCTAAGCCCCAGCCCCCCACCCCACCCCCGCCCTGAGACGACACAGTGCAAGTCACCCATAGGTCTCCTGCCACACAGAGCTAAAGAACTTCAGAGAAACCTTGGTGGACATACACCCCAAAACTCTCATTTTTCCAGTGAGGACACTGAGGTCCCAACACCTTTGTTTGACACTGGGGCACCCACCCTGTCAACTGTAACCTGGATAAAAACACCTACATTCGGGGCTTTGGATTCGGAGCCAGCCATAAACAGAGGAAGGGGGGCTAGGAGACAGATGAGGAGGGATCAAACTGATCGACCTCAGCCCCCAAAAGGCCTCCATCTCATTTGTGAAATGAACAGGCTGGACAGATGTTCCCTAAACCTCTGATGGCCTCGGGTTCCACGGGGGCCAAGAAGCTGTGCATGGGACAGGGGTAGGGGGCCGAATCAGCATGGGGCCATGGGGGAGCTCTGTGAAAAGTCATCTGTTACTTCCATCCATTCGGCATCTGGTTTTTCATTTCTTAATCGCATCAGCATGATGGATGGTCACGGATTACAGATTACAGATTACAACCCCAGATTACATCATGGGGTTAATTTATTACATTTTTGAATACCCACTTGCTGGGAGACTGCTTTTCAAAGGTATTTGCATATCTTTCACCATAACAACAATGTGTAGGAGGGCATCTGGGAGGGAAGGATGGATGTTTAGGAGGGGAGAGAGCTTATTTGCCAACTGAAGCAGGTTCCTGAGGGTCTGCAATGGGAACAGAGAGCAAATCACTCCCTAGAGACATTTAAATTGAAACTAAGAGAAGGTGAGATGCAAGAAAGTTTTGCAAAGACTGCATGGGTGAAGGAAGATTCCTGGGGTTCACTGAACAGCACACAATGAGTGAATGGGGTATAATAACAAGCAATGAAGTGTCCAGACCCCTAAGATGCTTCCAGAGTCCCTCCCATTCTCACCATCCTGATCACAGGACATATTATTCATCCCATCCCTGCCTAAGGTTCCCAGGACACCAAACACAGGGAGGTGGGAGGAGCCACAGAGTCAGCACGTATAGCCCGGTGAAGATCCCACTGATACCACGATATTCAGGAACCCAGCCAGCTGGGATGCCCCCTGAGCAGAGGCCCAGCCTCATTCATTCTCTTAGTCCAGCACCTCACCAGTGCCTGGCCAAATCCAGGTTCTGAATGAATGTGTGTCCAATGAGCGAATGAAAGAACGAAGGCATGAAATGATGGTGCGCAGTGTCTCATTGCCACTTGCCCGACATGAATCCTCATTTAGTCCGGATGAGGGGCAAAGACCTCTGATTTCAGTGCTTGGGCTCTAGGTGGTGGTGTGCAGAGAAAAGCTGCTTTCACAAATGAAGCAAGAGCTGCGGATTACTCGCTACGGTGCCCCTCACACCCACTGGGCTGCTGCTTCTCTCCCCAGCACTGCCCCTTAACCTGCTGTGAGGCCTTCCCTCTCTGACTCTCAGTTTCCTCCTCTGTAAAATGGGATCATGGCAGCACCAATTCCATAGAGTTGAGTAAGAAGTAAGTGAGATAATGTTTGTAAAACTATAACGTGCACAATACCTGGCACATAAATGCCTAATTACTGGCTGTTACGACAATGATATTCAGGTTGACACACACCTTGCTAGCTTCGGCAGCAATGTACAAAAATTGGGACGATACAGAGGTTAGTGTGGCCCCTGTGCAAGGACGACATGCAAATTTGTGAAGCGTTCCACGTTTTTCTAAAAAAAGAGTGGATATATGTGTACGTATAACTGATTCACCTTGCTGTACACCTGAAACTATCACAACCTTGTAAATCAACTATACTCCAATAAAAATTCTAAAAAAAGATCGACATACACTATCTAAGCCCCTAGAGCAAACACTCTGAACCAGCCATCATGCCTTTCAAAACCCCATCCAAAACATCCGGAGCTGGCCCCTCTTGCCAGTTCCATTCCCCAAGGCAGCAGGCAGCCCCCAAGATGCCCTTAAGGTGGGCATGCATCCTCATGGCCTGAGATGCCTAAAGACAAGTGGCTGCGGCTGAAGACAGCTCCTCTCCCCGCTCATCTAGTCTTCTGGTGTGAGGCCCGACCTGCCCAGCTGCCCCAGATCCTGGGGTCCACTGCTGACCTCAGACCCAGGTCAGAGCCCTGACCTTAGGCCAGTAACACTGGGCGGCTTCCAATAGTTCAACCAGGGCAAAGCCCCCATGCCATTCCGTCCCTGAAGTTCTGCTGACTCCGCAGGGTCATTGACACCTTGTTGGTCAGGGGGACCTGACAGGTCATCTCTTTTTAAACTTTGAACTTTTATCCACAGAAATGCACAGAGACACTAAATGTTTTCCACAATTTTAGGGGTTGCCGGGACCTCTGAAGTCATCCTCAACCACAGGGTAAGAACCCTTGATCCAACTCAACTGCCACTTTTTAAAAATAACTGCTTTATTGAGATATAATTCACAAACCATAAAGTTCATCCTTTTAACGCATGCAATTCAGTGGTTTTTAATATCGTCGCAAAGTTGTGCGTCAATCACCACTGTCTAATTCCAGAACATTTCCATCATCCCAGAAAGAAAACCCCCCGCGTACATTGGCAGCCACTTCCCCAGTCTCGCCTTCTGCCAGCCCCTGGCAACCAACCACTCGTCTACTTTCTGTCTCTATGGACTTGCCTATTCTGAACATTTCATGTAAATCATACAATATGTGGCCTTTTACGTCTGGTTTGTTTCACGAAGCGTTCATGTTTTCAAGGTTCACCAAAACTGCGGCATGTACTGGTACTTCATCTTTTTTGTGGCCGAATAATATTCTGCTGTATGAATATACCACGTTTTGTTTATCCACTCATCAGGTGATGGATATTTGACTTGTTTCCACTTTGGCCATTCAAACATGGGGAAACGGAGACCCAAAGTCACCATAACCTAGATGGGATAGGAGTCCAGACCTCTCTCCTAACATCCACCTTTTCTTGCAGCATTGCTCTGGGAGAACCCAGAGAACAGAGAGTCCAAGCGTGGCGAAAGATCGCCCCACTGGCGAATAGCCATCGCAACAGCATTTGAACCAGAGGATCCAATAACTTGCTTCCGGTTCAGTAAATGCTGGGCCACAGCTTCATCCTTGACAGAGAGAATCATACCCACTGTCCCCCTCCCAGACCCAAGCCACCATCACCTCTTCCCTGCCACTGTTCCTAGCTGGTCTCCCTGCTTTTGTCCTTGCCAAATGCAGTCTATTCTCAACTTTGGGAATCAGAGTGAATTTGTTAAAACCTAAGTCAGATGATGTCTCTGCTCTGCTCACAACCCAATCCATCCTCGTGCCTGCCCATCAGGCTGATAATATTACGGTAACAATAGCAGATAATTTTTCTAGAGCATATCCTGTGGGGTCAGGACCTTAGGAACATTATCTCCTTACACAGGCCACTGCACTTAATCCTTGAGCCCTGAGAGTTACGGCTAACGGTGAGCTCAGAGAGGTTAGGCCCCTTGACCAAGCATACGGGGAATGAATGACAGCAGAAGAGGGGCCCAGGCATCTTACCCGACTACAGAGCGGAGCTCTTAAAACTCTGAACCATAATTTGCCACGCTGGAGAAAGAAGAAAACGGTCGAAATGGAAGCCGCTGGGCCAGCTCTGGGCGCCAGGCAAGACTGCTGCTTCCCGCGAACGCGGGCCCGCCCCACCGCTCTCTGATCTTTGCAGCGCCTGCGGCCCCCCTGACCCCGCGGTGAGTTATGGGGGCCGCGGGACCCATAACACAGCATTCCGGGACTCCCAGGGTCGGCAGGACGCGGCACCCTGCTCTGGGATGGATGAGCCACCCCTAGCGCTGGCTTTGTCCTGCCTGGGCCGGGTTGGGGACCTACTTTGGACGGGGCGTGGCGAGAGGCGGACCGCGCGCGCGCGTGTGTGTGTGTGTGTGTGTCTGTGTGTGTGTGTGTGTGTGTGTGTGTGTGTGTGTTGGGTAGGGGTATTGTCTTTTTCCCTTCCCTCCCAGGGTGTGTGAGTGGGGAGCGGACACTAGCGCAGCCGTCAGTGCTCCCCAGTCTCACCTGGTAGCGCTTTGAAGACCCCCCTGGACCCCCACGTCGAAGACCGACCCCTCCCTGAACCTCGCCCCCAACTCTGCGCACTTTCGGAGGCTACTGAGGCCCCGCGGTGCCCCGTTCCTCCTCCCTCGCACAGGGCATTTCTTCCGTCCCATTTGACAGCCTAGGCGGAATAATCCTTTTGGGGAACCGCCGGCCTCTGCGCTGCCAGACGCGGCCGCAGCTGAGCGCTCAGCTCCGATCCATTGTTGGGGTCCGCCAGGGACCCCCTGCCGCGGCCCTTTGTCGCCCGCTCCCTGCTTGGCCGCTCCAGATGCGCCACCGCTGCCCGCGCCCCGCCCGTCCCACGCGCCCCGGGCCGCGCCGAGGCGGCTCTTCCGCACCGGGAGGAGTGGGCCCGCCTCTCCCGGTGCCTGCACGGCCGCCCGGCTGCGCCCGCCTTTGTCTACCTTCTTTGTCTGCCCCGCGCCTTCGCGGCGGCGGCAGCTAGGCCTCTGGGGAGGGGGCCCGGAACGCCGAGCGCAGCTGGCGAGGGCGCGCTGGCTGGGAGCGCGCGGGGCCCGGCCCGGCCCGGGGCTGCCCCTCGGCTGGGGGCAGTGGAGCCCGCTTGCCGCCGCCCCTCCCCCGTCCCCTCCGCGTGCTCCCGCCCCCTTCCCTCACGCCCGCCCCCTCCCCCTTCCCTCCAGCCCAGCTCAGCCTCGGCACATCCTCCTGCCGCCCGCGCACCTCTCCGCGCGGTCCCGGCTTCGCGGCTTGGCCTTCCGCTGCGCTCGGCTCCCGCAGGCGCTCGGCCCCGCGCCCCTCGGCCCCTGCCCCGCCGGTTGGACAGGTAAGGCTTGGCCTTGGCCCGCCCCTGGCTCCACCCTCCCGCCTCACCTGGCTGCGCGCCGGGACAAAGGTGGGCTACCTGGAGCGCTCAGGGGCGGGGCGCGCCGGAGACTGAGGATGGAGGTGAGGATGCTGCTTTCCTCCCTGCCCTCCCGGCCCTCGGACCCGTCGGTCAGTGGGTCCACCGCCTCCGCTCCTCGCCGCGTCTCCCCTCGGCTCCTGGCTCTGCTCCTGGGCCCCTCATCCGCCCGCCTTCCGCCGGACACTCACTTTTCCACGTTCTGACACTGCCTAGCGTGCGCCCTTGCCGCCCTCTTCCGGACGCGGCTCTCGCCCACTCTCCTCCTCGGCACTAGCCTTCTCCCTCTGGGACCCGGTCTCTCTTTGTCTCTCTGTCTCTGAGTCTCCCGGTGATCTCTCAGGCTGGGGACCCCAATCTGACATCGTTTGAAGAAGATTGGAAGATTCCCTAAGCTCCGGACAGAGCTGGCAGGAGTGCCCTCTGCTTCTTTCGAGGCTGCCTACGGGGCTGGGGTGTGTTGCAGGTAGAGGGAGGTTCCGGCTGCGCCCCCCGCCAGCACTGCCCAGTTCCTCGCGCTAGCAACCCCGACAGCGCTGGCCTCGCTCTTCTGGCCCCGGCTCAGGCTCCCTCCCTCTCCACTGCTGGCTTTTCTCCAACCGCACGCCGGGGTCTCAGGCTCCTGCAGGACCCGAGGTTTGAGTGGTGAGACTTCTTGGGTTTCCCGCCAAGTCTTGCCTTACCACACTGCGTGCTCCCTCTGCCCTCGCCTCTGTCTGGTCTCTCTTGCATGGAGCCGTCTTCCATGCTGCCCACCTCCCAGCCTGGTGGCATGCAAGAAGTGTCCCAGTACTGGTTCAGTACCACCCCTCTGGGGTCAGGCAGACGGAGGCTGAGGGAGTGACCTTGGACAAAGGGACGCACTTCTCTGAGCCTCAGTGCCCCCTTCATAAAACGGGGATAATAGCACCTACCTATAGGGATATATGTGAAAGCAGTGAAAAAAACATATCGGATGCCAGCGAGGCACACACTCGGTGGCCACGGGGGATTCTACAGTCCCAGTCCCTGGGTGGGGTGGGGATAGGGGGTCCACAGAAAGGGGGAAATGGATCAAAAATTCAGGCTTAGAGACACTGCAGAGAAACCTGACTGTGGCCCCTCCCGTATCATGGTCACCTCCCCCTACACGCTGTTACTGGCACTCTTCTCTCTTTCTCTCCCTCCTCCTCTCTGCTTGTCCTAAAATCGGAGCTTAAAAATCAGAAAGAAAAGAGTGTCTGCTTTCAAAATGAGCTCAATGTGGCTGTGTCGATGTTGCCAACAGCTGGTCATTGACCATGAGGCATCCATGTGGCTCATTCCCAATTCTGAATCTCTGTCTTGCACCCATTTCTTTTTTAATGGCTCTCGCTCACGAGCCATTTCCTTTCCTCTGGGGGGGATTGTCTTTTGGACCCTGCACCTGTTGTGTAATCACCCAAACCCTCTGACCATCGTCTATGTCATCGCGACAGGTGACACACCACCCCAGGAGTCGGGCAGTGATGTGGGCTTAGGGCCATAATGAGGGCAACTTCGGAAGAGGGACATCTTCTCCCGGCTGGAAAGTTCTGGGTTCCCCTAGCTGAGCTTTTTTTTCAGCCACAGCCAGAGCTAGCAACTAGTGCCTTTCTCTTTAGAGAGGCAAGAATGGGACTGGAAACACCCACAGACACACACACACACACACAGACACACACACACACCCCATCCAGACTCCTGCTCACAATCCTTTCTGCCACTTTCTCTGCCTCCCTTCCCACCGTTCAATTCACCC